GACGATGATTAAAAGTTCACAAAGGTCTGTGGAGGGTAACTTCTTGAAAGACAGACCCGTTAGGATAATTAACCTTAGCTGATGCCCATTTGTCAGAAATGTAAAATCCACCAGCCAGCAGATACTCATTATAAAATTTTGTTCCTTGTATATCATTAAAATTTACATACGTAGCTCTCTTCCGCGTTCGCTAAAAGAACTTTTGACGTAACAATCGCGGCTTCTCGTATTAAGAAAATAATATCTTAACATTAGTAATTTATATCTTACGAGATTCACAATCCTCGGATCGTTGACCAATTTCAAACGGTTTCCTATGGGAAAAAATAACTAGTAATATTGACTCGGTTCATTAAGCATCCAATTAATCACTATTGTATATAGATACATTGTATACCTATATATTTTTTTTATCCCACTATACCTACAATTAAATAAAGGAAATCGTATACGTATACATACACTCTCAGTCAGTAATAATATTTAACATATGCAAATACGTAAGAAAGTATTCAACAAAATAATTCTGATTGTCAGCAGTCATACGATACCTACATAAATTAGGCCGAAATATTCTTCTTGGATATCCATGGCGGGAGCCACTTTCAAGGTTTTCATCCAGCCTAAAAAAATGGACTGAAAAGGGTTTGAAATGAAACGTCCATCTCCAAATATTCCCGTCTATTTCTGTTCCGAGAATTTTAATTTCCAGATGGATAAAAATATTCTTTAACTACAACCTGTCACTCTCCACGTATTATGATTGACGTGTAACAATGCCATCTTCTTGCAAGAGGCTATCGTGCCGTGATAATACCTGATGGTTTATTAATATCGTAATATTATGAAAACACACAGTTAAAAACAGGATATAGAAAATATCAATTGCGTCTCTCGAATAAAATTATTTATCACAGCAGCATACTTGATTTTTCGTTCAGCTACCCCCTCGTCTACGATCCCTCATGTTACAGCATCTTCCGATATGAAATCGTACCATATTCCTCTTCTTGTACCATTCCGTGACTGGATGCGCAATAATAATTGTCTGGTCATTACAGTCTACCAATAAAAAATACGAGGCCATCTTTTCTGCTGCACGAATGTCCAGCTTACTATCACGAGAAATCATAGTCTTTGGAATCGTGTCACGAATAGGTCCACAAAGTCAGACATCCTACAAGACGTATTAAACCCGCGGTTTTTCATGCTTAAAAATAAATACCCGATAAATCGGATCTGGTTGATCCATTACAATTTCGACCTCGTATGAGACTCGTCGCGACAAAACACGACACAGTGCAAGAAAACAAGATAAGTGTATAATCCGTATATACGTGTAACAAAGTACTTGCTCGCATACCAAGCGACTCAATTGCAAGGAGCACCGAAGGAATTCGACGTACAAGAAAAGACGACAAAATAAAGTAAAACAGTAATTGACGTAGAATAGCGTACCGGGATGTGTAAGGTCTGATTATAAAAAATAAAGAAATTTCAATTATCTCTCATCACCTCAACAGTTAATGACCCAACGATTATCCCATGGCTATATATTCGTTTATTCCTGTATCTCGCAAAACTTGACTATACCTACTGAGTGAATCAAGTGTGTGTATACGCAGCTAAATCGCTGTACGTGATATTGAACCTGGGGCCAACGGAGCACTGGAATCTCATAATGGGATAATTAAGCCCACCAATCATAAAGCTCATAGCGTACTGGTTATGCACGAGTGCATTAGAATGCACGTGGGTCACGTACCGAGAATATACTTTAGAATAATGTCTAGCGCATATGTTGCACGTATGAGGCCTTGTTGTTTTGTACTTTTACAATTCGTGTGGCGGTCTTACTGTGAGATAAAGTGATTATGCTTGATTATATATCGGTGCATATAGGTTAGAAGTTGATTAAAAAACATTGAGTACATATAAAGTGCATTTAATGAATGCTGATTAACATTTATTTATCGGAGACTTAGTATGGATTTATATAAGTGCCAATTGGCTTCCTCTGGAGTAAGTTAGAATCAGGAACGGTTTTCTCAGAAGGGAGAAGTGGGGGCGGAGGAGTCTTGGGTAACTTTTGACCCCCTGAAGTGAATCCCATTTGACAGAAGCCACTGGGGTCCTGAGGGACCCCTGCAGCGTTACAGGATTTGTCCAAAGGTGTCTGCAAGACAGTCTCTAGCGACCGGTATATATCTGTGTCCTTTTTCTACGACTTACGACGCTCCTTTTCGCCTATTCAAATGGTTGGGATATCCTGGCTGCGTTTAAACTTTTCTCTTCCCACTTCTTAGCAGAGTCTCACCATGATCCTTCTTCAAGGACGTACACGTACGTTGAAAAGGGAAACGCGTTCTCGTCCTATGTTCTCATCCCATGCGATCCGACAGACGTAAGATCGACTATTGAGATCAATCGACATATAAATTTTTTATAAATTTTTTGTTAACAAATTAAACAGGTCGCAAGGATAAATATAATATAAAATTATGAGTGACATATGGATATATGAATTTTCGAAATCTGGGCGTAGGCTTTTTATTTACTGGTAGTTGGTAGCAGTGAGATCTGCTCGAGCCGTTAAGAATCCTTTTTTGTTCCTTCCTTCTTGCTGTTCCACGTTGAAGATAACATCTGTGTAGGAGCTATAAGAATTTTCGAGTCCCGCGGCGATCCTGACTGGACCGTTCCACTTGAAAAACCCCTGCAGGGCTGAACGATCTTCATTCGATCATTTGATCGTAGGATCGAGAACCTATAGATCCTCTGTCTATTCGTAGTATATCATGGGAATAGAATACTGCAATAAATTATTACTGCTTTTTTTAGATTAATAATAAATAAAAAATACTAGATACCAAAAGGTCATAGCTCTTAGGTGGTATACCGATATTCTCGTTCGATTTCATTGAGAATCCAAATTATTGTATCAATATTGACCAGCGGCACTCAAACGCACCACTCAAGCCAGTCTGAACTCTTGGCCCGTTTATCTTGAAAAGCCACATATAATTATACGAAGGTACCCGCCACGCTTTTATGTCTCAATTATACTTAGAGATTTGAGATAGAAGATTTATGGTTGAAAATTATAACGTTGCCATGCAAATTGCAGCTTCCTATAATCTCATACGCGTAGTTCCGTGAAATCCGTACGAGCACCGGATGGATATTTCCTAATTTTTTCTACATACACTTACAGCTAATTGGCATATGTGTCTTTATAAGGCATTGGGTACCTAGCAATGTATCGCTTTAAAGTCAATATCACCATTATTAGCCGATATCGACTAAGAGTGCTATTTGAAAATTTTGAAAAAAAAATTACTTTCTCAGGATCATCATCCACGCAGAGCTACGCCTTTGGCCAAGAACTGCGTTTATTTCCAGGATAGAATTCTTAACGCGGAGCCTCGTTCAAAAATGCATGGAAGCACGCCAATCAGACTATAGCAGCGTCTATTCAGATCGCTTATGGAATCAGCACACGGCTCGTTGTATTTCACGTCTACCTAGATTGAGTGGCATTAGTCAATCCGTTGACGAGGCTTTGAATAGTAATTATCGTTAACGCGCATACCAATTGGATCTGTCGAACACACTGGGTATACCTGAGTACTCGTCTCGCTGACAATGGGAAGACTCGAGCTTACAGGAACCGAGCCATAAGATAACAGTACATTCATGTTTCCGGTCTTTTCCCATCGTATTTCATATATTCATAGTACAGTCATTTATAATTCTTGGCAACGGTGGACGTTGCTTAGTAAAAACGTAGAACGGTATGAAAATTGAAAATGAATCACGCACTCCATTCATACAAGAGGAAGATCCTTGCAGGATATCGCTATTGAATTTCATTCGAGATACAATTGATAATGGACGTATGTATCGCGTTACGTTGAAGATTAGATTTTTTTTTCACCTATGAGATTGACCATACGATCCAACCAATGGCAGATTTATAGATTAAGCCATTAATTCAAGTAGCGGTATATAGATCGCTTTTGAGACGATGAAGATTACCACCCGGTGGATTTGATATAAGTGCGATAGATCATGCTGATGCCTATTAGATAAATATTACTATTTGATAATTAGTAAAAATTATTATGATTTTGGAATTTTTTTTTCATACGTTCGTTAACGTACACGAAACTTTATTTTATCGAAGGTATATGCGGATGTTGATTTTTTGGCGAATTTTAATGGTTACTTATGCAATCTTATGTATATGTATAATATAAGTGTAAACAGGAGGAGCTCGGTAGCAGAATTTCCAAGCGATTATCGAATATACTAAGCATGTTTGGTTTTAGGCTTTGGGATACGCGTGCCGCGGTTTATTTAGGCTGCCTGACCAGACACCTTCCACTCTCGAAATCCTCTTCCACTGGGTTCTTACTTAAGGTTTACTTCGGTTCGGTTCGGCCGGGACCATTGTCCTGCCGAAGGCCCTACGCCCTACCAAAAGAGAAGATAGAAGGGCCTGCAAGGTTCTCAATCTATCTTCTAATAGCAACCCATCAATTCGTTCCGATACTCTACATTAAGCTTGGAAACTCAGTTCCCAGAAAATCCCAAGAAAAATAACCCAAAAAATATCTGTTATGTTATTTCAAACTAAAAAATGTTTTGATTCAAAATCAGGTGTAGGACGTTACCATGTACATTCCCAGATAAAAATTTGCTATTATATATCTCAAATGTTATATAATTGTTCGGAAAATATTTGTATGCATTTTATAGAACGATGTAAGGTCCAACTTTTAATGGCATGTCGATTGAGAAAATGTCAGTGAATACAGTTGAGAGCCACAGGACCCCTACGCTACGAAGGAGGGCTCATCTAGAGGCTGGCGGAGGATCGAGAGAAGTGGCGGATGGTGAGGTCGAGGTACAGAGAGAAAAAGGGCCAGAGAGGGAGTGTTGGAGCCAGGCTGGTATCTCAATCAGGCAGGGACCGCAGGTTGGGGTGCCCTGGACCCCTGTGGGTCGATGGTGGGGATTGTAGTACCGGGGCCTTCGGCCCTGGAGCCGTCACAACTCAATATAGTTCCTCAGAGGCCGGGGCCGTACGCGAACGTGAACCAGACTCAATCTGGCCACTACCAGTCAGTCTGCTAGAATTTTTCGAGCTCTGTTCGTAGAACGGTAGATCATTAAAAAATATATTTTTACTGAAATTGCTACCGAGTAAAGAGAAAAGATTTGATAAAAAACTTTTTCATCCTCAACAGTCGCTGTTATATTACAATAACATTGTAACTCATTGTATCGAGGAGACAAATTCTTTATCAACAAATATTACGAATTCTCCGTTAATCTTGTATCTACAGTCTGTGAATCGTTACATATATATGATACAAACGACGATTATTCGGTAAAGTGATAGTGTGAATAATTCGTGCTAGTGAGTTGAGAAAACAATGTGATAGCGAAGACACGGAGACAATAAACAGAGGTATGATTATTTCGATAACACCGTTAGAGCGTACGTTAATTTCTTTGAAAAAAATTATATCGGGGAAAGTCTAGAAATTTTAAGAATTATAGTTTTATCGAACTTCTTCGAAACAAGGGTGGCGATGATGAAGCTTTAATAAATTGTGCCATACCTAATTGCCATAATCTGTCAATGCCATCGCAGTTCGGTAGACCAGGTAGCTGAATTTCGAACATAGACCAAAGAAACGAGTTTGTTTATAATTTCGAAAATTCAGCTGCAGTATCAGTGATTGCCTACGCGGTAATGTCATCGACTGACAGATAGTGAGAAAGAGAAATTTATAATGTGCGATAAGGTAATTCGCATCATTATAAAAACGGGTTGTGCGCAAAAATTATTAGATTTATATATAGGCGCCAGTTCATTACATCATAATGAAATATTGGTCGGTATTAAACGTGACGTCAAACGGAAATTAAAATTCGATCGAAGTCAGTGTCATCGACTATGATTTTCATTCTTCGTCACGCGCTACGCATATACACACACGTACCTCAAGGCTAATACTTAGGATTCATCCAGTTCGCCGAGCTTCGTTCCTGTCACATTACTGCACGTGTCTTTACGTTCATTTGAATTACCAAATAAACATCAACAATATTAGCGAAGATTTATTTTCAAATGATTTGAATAATTTATAGAAGCTGAAATTACATTTAATTTTTAAAAAGATCAAACAAAACGAAAAGTACTTACTTTATCGCCTCATGAATTTTAAATATGACTCAGGTATCGAATCCCTTGATGTTTCTCAACACCGAAAGTAATTAAGAAACAGCAAAAGGATCTGAGAGGAAGTCATTTAAGAAATAAAATTACCCTTTATCAACAGCCATAAATCGATCTCTTGGACTACCGAATGAACCCGTCGACTCATTAAAAGAACGTTTGCACGCTAATGCAGAATGCTTACAAAACACATAGCAAATCTTCAATCGGACATTAAATTTCATTAATGTCCAATAGAGATAATATCACCTAAGGATTATCCAATAAAACATATTCTAACGAAACCAGTTCCTTTCGATTGAAACTCGCAAACGTAGATCCGTACCTCAGTATGCAAACACGCCCAGTCCACTTTCCGTTAGAATTTATCGCATTATGCAACGTAAAAATCAACCAGTCAGAACATATAACACGCGTGTCGCCATAGGCTCATGTGTTGAACTGACCCGGAGCAACAAACTACCTCAGCTAGACATAAAGTGCCTCTCGCAGTCCAGTAACACATTAAACCCAAGCAATTCCTAAATAAAAAAAAAATGAACACTGCTATAAAAACGAGGTCAAAATTCCTTTAAAAAATGCTAAAAACAGTACACGGCTGTCACGTATATTTTAACCCGTTATATACGTATATAACGTACCAACGTCGATACTTGTAGGTTCGTCAAGTGTGTCTCGTATTTCAAGCCGGTAAATGTGAATGACAATGAGCCGAGACAATTCAGGCGAACGAAGGAAGACAGAGTTGGCAGTGTTCGCTCGTTAGCGCGAAGATGGTCCGTGCCATAGATTTATGTGTCCTCGTGCTAATGAACTCGTGGCACCGGGCACCAGCTAGTGACTCGTTCGTGACTGGTGCGCTCGTGACAACCCGCGCTTAAGACATTATTTATGCACCCCCTGGTTACGTTCGGCCACCCTTGCACAGGTACACCACGATAATAGAGATCTAGAGGATATACAAAACCTTAAAAGAGGTTCCTGACTCGTGATAAAGAAGCCAGGACTAATGCCTGCCTATAGCCATACATATATACCACCGTATGTATACATGGTAGATAGTACCAATGACAATGTGCAAAGAACATTTAACAGTGCCTCGTACTTGTTGCGCCTAGGACATTGCCCGTAAACGAAGCGATACAGATAAAGATGCAGTAAGATAGACGGGTCTCATAGGATTCTGTGTACCTGGACCAGGATCGACTTCGCCAAAACATAGATAAAATTACTAAACACACTTAAGTGTAGTAACAGTAATGACGTACGTACATGTTTGTTTGGATCGTCACGAGCTGTTATCTCTATGGTGACAGATAACAAATATTTTTGATACTAATTACTACAGGGTACTAAGAAATCAATCGCCACTGGTATGCACTTGGCGAGTGACTTGGCTCAAGGACACTTTTGCGTGGACTTCACTTTTCAAATGAAGTAACCACGTACTCGATCATCCATCACAAATATCTCTTTCGATACTGGCAGCAGCATCCCGGGCTCCATTGAGGCATGAAAAATGACGGTGCCGAGTCGATCATCGTCGCCAGCTCCTTTTGAGACCAGAACGGAAATCTTCCTTTGTCCTTCTTTCCGTCCATCCATTTTTCTCGACTCTTCCACGGCTTTTGCTCTCTCCGTAGTCGGAGAGAGCGGATAGAATTATTGCTGCTATCTGGGGGGAACGAGTTTCTAGGTAACGAACACGTACGGTAACTCAAGAAGACGCAACGACACGAGTATTCTTTCTTTACCTGTCTCGTCTCATCTTTTTCTTATAGTCCCCGTGCGCGTATATCTGTACTAGCGTGTATATGGGCGCACGCATAGGCATAGAGATATTGCAGGGATCGAGATGTAGGTAAACTGGTCCTGGTGTGTCGGTGACCGATCGTCCATCCGCTGATGATGATATTCGTCATTAAATCATTATGCCGCATCCATAAAGTACGAATGCTCATCGTGTAAGTACCTGAGAACAAGATGACGTACAGGAGGCTTATAAATTCTTGACGCAGCAGAAGCGTCTATATACGTACGATGTGCGTTACGTGGTAGAATTTCCAAAAGTCACGCACGTCCTAATGGGTTCGATTAACCGCGACTCGGGGCACTCGTTGATGTCGTTGATATACGTACTTAATAACAGAATCGCTCCTTCGTTCACAGTCAGCGCCACTTGGACGCGAACTACAAGGAGGATGTATGTATAGGATAGCAGGGTGTGGATGTTCAATGTATGTAAAGTTATGCACGACTTCTGCCGGAAACTATTTCACGTGTGAATGCTTTGACGTCTCTTGGATTTTTAAAATCGACGCGCGACATCTCGAGCTTACTCACGTTTCGATAGGTTAACGGAGATACGTGACACCTCACGCATATCTAAATTAGCTCATCCGCGTGCACGTTCGGTGGGTATTGTAAGATGAAAAATGAGGATGAAAAATGATGAAGAGTTGTATCGAAACGTTTGGTAAATAAATTCATGGCTATAGGTATATGCTGAATACGGTTATCTCGTGTAACGGTGACGACTGAGCGTTGACGATGCTAATATGGAATGCGAGAGAGCAAATTTATCGTGCGACACGAACGTCTATACAGCATCCGTGGTCCATGATAGGAACGGTATCTATTTGAACGCTCAGTCGGCTTTTGCCGAGGGTAAAAAAAGAATCATCGTGGTAAAAGGCATGTCGTGACTGTTAGAACCAGTGTTGCATTCAAAGATCACGTTCTTGCCAGTGTCTATATCGCGCATGGAATGACGCTGCATCTCGTCATTTGATCACGGAAGAAGGGCTTCCTGATTCTTTGGATACGTGCTCAAGTTATTCTCACGTATCCCGGTATCGAACAGGTCTTTAAAATTAGGTTAGGTTTGTGGGGTCTGCTGGCTCTTGAGTAATCCATGGTGCCGGCTGATAGACACGGAGCCGTTTGTTTTTCATAATAAAACTCTCTCTGTGCTTTACTATGGGTGCTGATCCTAGACAGGCTCCAGTCTGGTATCGAGGATTAGGCCCAAGTCTCTGGCATGACTGGAATCGAAATCTTTTAAATATGTATTATAGATTATAAATCCAGTATGAGATACGAGGTTGCATACATGGCATTGTCCATTAGCGTTATGTTAATTGTATGATGTATTTTCTCTCATAACCTTTTTTCGGTTACTAGATAAGAAACCTTGTAGCGTACCAAGTCCTTAATGAATACCCGACGTCCATAAACAATATCCGCGTTCCTCTATCTCCGCGTATTCAGGAATTTGGTACCAGAAATTTTCAATGACTCTCGATGAACTCACCTTCTGGTCTAGAAGAGAATTTCTGAAGTTCTGTCAGCTCTTACGAGTAGCAATAAATTTATCAATTTTACATTTATTAATATGTTTATTACGAGTTAAAATTTTATAATGCTTCACTATGATTTATTAGCTATGATTCATTCATGCGACTGGCTGATCAATAAATAAGATCTGATTGCACAAAAACGACTTCACGATCATCATGAAACATTCGGATTCAATGTTGTATAATTTAATAATTATTATAAAAAAGTGGCACTCCTAGAAAAAAGAAATGATGATGCGAGTTCTTTAAATCAGAAATTTCCTAGTATTAACGGTATATCAGGCTCAACGTACCGAATAGCAAAGTCTAAGACATAGGTTTTAGAGATTTATGTGATATGCAAACTTTGCTAATACTCGAATATTATACAATTTTAGACCCAGCATGTTTACATGGTTCTGAGATGAAAAATTTAACAGACATAAAAACTTCCCACAGCAAGATTTTGCACTCGCTCATATTTCAGTGTAAATATAACGGAGTTGGGTAATCATAAAAAAAAAACCATTAATTCGCCACATCAGAAAAAATTCACCTAAAAAAATCCACCTATTAATCATAACTGTCTGATTACCAGGAACAAGTTAATTTAATTCGTTCAAATTCATCAAACGAATATATCTTGCCTCGACGGACTCCTACTATTTGTTAACGAATAAACTAAAATGAATGATAACTCCTGTCTCACTGATGAATTAGGTCAATGATCATTCCCAATGACTTGACCATAGGGTAAGATAAAGAAGGCGCCAAGTTTCAAAATGAAATAATTCACAAGAGAGTAGTCGCGGTTGTGTCCTTCCGGACACAACCCGAAGGCATAAAGCGTCATTCTCATGACTCGTCAGCTTCCTTGAAAAGAGCTTT